TACTTTATAAACCATAGTGCAAAAACAGAAGAGAACAAATTTTTTTTCTTTTTGAAAGAGAAGTTTTTTTAATGGCCATTAGGGAGCTCATAAATCTCAGGCTTGGAAGCTACATGGCCTGGAACTCTGTCAAGCCACCCTACCTAGTACTGGCGTAGTGAAATCATCACTGGCACTATGACTCATGACCACAGCTTGTACTGACGATGCTTGGGGCTGGACGCCAGAAAATCTACCAGTACTGCCTTGAAGACCTGGATACCTCCTCCACTATCCTTACTGAAAAATGGACTTTATACAACCCATATGTTTCATAGTTCCCTTGCTGTTTTAATGGATTAAAACAACCACAGAGAAAAATCTTTCGCCTAAGAGACATTTGGGGCCAAAAGTAGGAGTTGGGAGAGATCTCTGTGAAGCTTCTAAGACCTCCACCAAGGGCAAGGAAACCACCATCTCCAAACAGAGGAATCAGACTAAAGCTGCAGTAAAGCCCAGACATGAGGACTGTGACCTGACAAAGGCAGTAGCACTCCTTTTCTGGAGGTGAATGTTTTCTACCTCAGTCTTTAGAGTTCTTTTATACAAAATGTCTTGTATGTGTTAAACAGTATACCCACACAAAAGAAAGTGTCACCCACAATAAAGAGAAAACAATCAATAAGCAGACCCAGGGATGGCCTAGATCTAACTCTACATCTTTTAGAGTTACCAGAAAGAGAACTTGATATAACCTTGATAAAGTGCTAAATTATCAAATAGAAAAAGTGGGCTACATATGTGAAGAAATGGCTGAAGAATGTTAATACAGATAGAAATTTTTTTTTTAATCGAAAGTATAATGATAAGGACAAAGATACAAGAAGAGAAAACTACAGACTAATGTCCCTAATGAATATAAACGGAAAAATTCTCAGCAAAAAGTAGCAAGCAAAACCCAGTCCAACAGCACATTATAAAAGGATTGTATAAATGACGAAGTGAGATTTACCCCAGAAATGAAAAAGGTGATTCAACATATGAAAATCAAATGATGTAATATATCATATTTATGGAATGAAGAAATAAAAACAACATGATCATCTCAATTGACACAGGAAAGGCTTTTACAAACTTAACAGCCTTTCATTTAAAAAAACAAACAAACCAGCAAATTAGGAGAAAGGGAAATTCCTTAACATGATCGATGTTATTTATGAAAAGCTCACAGCTAACGTCATACTTACATTAAAAGACTGAAAGCTTTATCCTTAAGTTCAAGAACAAGATGAGGTTGCCCAATTTCATCACTGCTATTCAGCTTTTGTGCTAGGAGTTCTAGCCAGAGCTACTGGGCAATAAAAAGAAATAAAAGACATTGAGATTGGAAAGGAAGAGGTAAAACTGCCCCTATTCACAGATGACATTTTTATATGTAGGAATTTCCAAATAATCCAGAAGGAAGCAACTAGAGCTAATAAACAAGTTCAGCAAACTTTTAGGTTTTTGAAGATCAACACACATTTCATCAGTTGCTTTTCTATATATCAGTGATGAACAACCTTAAAAAATTAAGAAAGCACTTTTGTCCTGGCAAGTGTGGCTCAGTGGATTGACTGCTGGCCTGTGAACTGAAAAGATCCCCAGTTTGATTCTCTGTCAGGGCACATGTCTGGGTTGTGGGACCTGCTGGGAGCGTGCAAGAAGCAACCTATTGATGTTTTTCTTGCACATTGGTCTTTCTTTACTTCTCTCCCCCCCCTTCTCCTCTCTCTGAAAATGAATATATAAGATCTTAAAAATTTTTTTTCATTTATAATAGCATTTAAAATAATGAAATATTTAGGAATAAATTTAACCAAGGAGGTAAGGCTTATATGCTGGAAACTATAAAATAATGCTGAAAGAAATAAAAATAAATGGAAATAAATAAAAATAGATAGAACCTAGATACACATAAAAATAAATAGACTTTCCATGTTCAAGGATATGAAGACTTAATATTGTTAAAGTATCAATAATCTTCAAAACAACCTATAGATTCAATGCAGTACCTACCAGAATTCTGACATCTTTTTTTGCAGAATGGAAAAACATATCCTCAAATTCATATGGAATTGCAGGGGGCCTGGAATAGCCCAAAACAATCCTGAAAAGTTGGAGGACTCACTGATCCTGACTTGTAACTTACTATAATGTTATAGTATTTAAAACAGTATGGTACTATCATGAAGACAGACCAGTGGAATAGAATAAAAGCCTAGAAATAAGCCCTCATATATAATGTATGGTCAGTTCATTTTTGACAGGGTGCCAAGACCATTCAGTAGGGCAAAGGACAGTCTTTTTAACAAATGGTGCTGGAAAAATCCACATGCAAAATAATGTCATTGACCTTTACCTCACATAGTTGTACAAAAATTAACTCAAAATGGACCAAAGACCTAAAACTTTAAAACTCTTAGAAGAAAACATTGAGGAAAATCTTGACATTGGAATTGGTAGTGGTTTCCTAAGTATGATGCCAAACGCATAGGCAACAAAAGAAAAAATAGGCAAATTAGATTTCATCAAAATTCAAAACTTTTGTGCATCAAAGGACTACCAAGAAAGTGAAAAGACAACCTATGGAATGGGAGATAATATTTGCAAGTCACCTATCAACAATGGATTAATGTTCAGCATGTACAAAGAGTTCCTGCAACTCAGCAACATCAAAACAAATTATATACATACACACTTAGATATACTCCCAAAGAATATTGAATTTTTTTGTTTGTTTAAGCAGGCACTTAACTTGGTTGAAGTCAACCTGCAAAACCTAACCTGTGATTGGTGGCAGCTCATAATCTTATTTTAGGTATTTTTGCCTTAGGGTGCTTGGGGTCTGTCTTGCTCATAAATGGTTTACAAGGTCAGCCAAAGGATTGGTCAGAGTTTATATCTATAGTTGGAGCTCCCATCTCTGGTTGTCCCCTTTCTGGAATTTCTGTGTTACTTTCTAGAAGATGTAAACCGGTTTTTGCTTTTTGGGGTTTTCTTTTTTTTTCCCCCCCTCAAACTCCCAGACTCTGTCCTCAGTTCTTCAAACCTTTCAGGCAGTAGGTTTTCTATGGGAGTTTCAGCCACTATGTAAATCATGGACTGTAGCATTCCCTCATTCAAAGCCTTAAAAACAGGAAACACACCCTTTGTTTTTCTTTTCTTACATGTGCCAATTTGCTTCTAGTATCTGCTTGCTTTGGTCGCTCTCCACGCTTTTAGGTCATTCTTTATATTTGTTTCACTTTACAGTTATGTACATAATGATGGTTTAAAAAGGTGCTTCTCAGCCATCAGAATGGACATGGGAGTCTCCCTAAGTTCTATGTATATACTTCTTCACTCTTTTTTTTTTATTGTCTCCCTCTTTGTGATCACTATTTTTATCTCTAGCACATCCTGGTCATCCCCATTATCAATCCTGTAGAAGTCACCTTGACCTCAGCAACAGTGAAGGATACCAAAAAAAGTCAGGTAGCCCAGCTTGTTGAGTCAGTTGAAATTCTAAGTTGGTAACATGGAATAGGCATTTTTAGACTCTTTGTACTAAAAGTGTCTGTGATTTTAATAGCCTGTTGGAGGACCTTCTCACATACCTAAGTTTTTAGGTCTGGTCTGGATGGTCAAGATCTCCTGGCTTATAGAATCAGCATTTCTTCTGTGTTCTCCACAGTACTCAAAGAATACTGCAAAATTTTTGTTGGTCTAGGTATTTGTCATTGCTAATGATGCATCTGATAAGGGGTTAATATCCAACATTGATAAAGAACTTAATTCAACACCAAAAAGACAAACAGTGCAATTTAAAAATGAGAGAAAAACCTGAATAGACCCTTCTCCAAAGAGGACTTACAGATGGCCAATAGACATATGAAAAGATGCTCAGTGTCACTAATCAGAGAAATGCAAATTAAAACCACAGTGAGCTACCACCTCACACCTGTCAGAATGGCTATGATCAATAAATCAACAAACAACAAGTGTTGGAGAGGATGTGGAGAAAAGGGAACTGTTGTGCACTGTTGGTGGAAATGCATATTGGTGCGGCCTCTATGGAAAGCAGTATGGAGTTACCTCAGTAAATTAAAATGGAACTGCCTTATGACCCAGCGATTCTACTTCTGGGAATATATTTGAAGAAACCTGGAACACTTAATTCAAAAGAATATGTGCACCCCTGTTCATTGTAGCATTATTTACAATAGCCAAGATTTGGAAGCAGCCCAAGTGACCATCAGTAGATGAGTTGATAAAAAAGCTGTGGTACATTTACACAATGAAATACTATTCGGCTGTAATAAAGAAGGAAATCTTACCCTTTATGACAGCATGGATGGACCTCGAGAGTATACGCTAAGTGAAAGAAGACAGAGAAAGGCAAATACCACATGATTTCACTTACATATAGACTCTAATAAACAAAATAAACTAAAAAAACCCCACACAAACCCTCATCCCTTGTAATACAGTATTTCAGAATTTTATAATTATTAAACTACTTCCAAAATTTGGAAGGTTGTTCACTTACTATTTTCTTATTTTATTTTTTTTTTATTTTGAGAGTATTTTTATTGAAGCTGGGGACAGTGAGACATGGAAGGGCTTAGAATAGAAGAAGCAACAGAAGAGAGCCTAGGCAGGCCTGCCTTGGCTCACTGGAAAGTCAGAGAGAAAAAGGGGCCTTGAAGACAGGTTCAGTGGGTTAGCCCAGGATGAGCTGCTGCTGCCCATTGCTCCCCTGGTTGCAAGTCTTGTGGGAACCCTTAGGGTTTAGGAGATGCATTCCTGAGAAGGAAGACATTTGTGAGCATGCTCCTGGGAAGGAGAACGTGCCCACTTTTTTTTTTTTAAACTTTTTTTGAAATAACCTTTTCTATAGCAATAATATATGATACAGATCTAAAAGATTTACTGTTGTAAGCTTATTGTAAAATACATAGATAATGAATTTGTTTTCTGTGTTTTTTCTTCCTGATTAGCTTCTGGGATATAGTGAAAAGCCGATAAATCTACAGATGTTTATTGGAACAGCAGATGATCGATATTTACGACCTCATGCGTTTTACCAGGTGCATCGAATCACTGGGAAGACAGTTGCTACTGCAAGCCAAGAGATAATAATTGCCAGCACAAAGGTTCTGGAAATTCCACTTCTTCCTGAAAACAATATGTCAGCCAGGTATTTTGAAACATAGCCCCGAATGGAGTTTTTTATTTTTCTGTAAAACAACTTTTGGAAAAAACATACATTTCTTTTTATAGTACAGAAATAAGATATTGTTTTAAATTAACTGAATAACATTATGTAAATAATCATTGTACATTTGCTAAAGTTGGTAGCCTATTTCCAGAAAGAAACTTCAATTCAGTGAAAGTTTATGAACCCATGTAGCCAAGCAGTATGGTAGGTGATAGAGATAAAAATATTTGGATGTTTTTCAAGTAGCTCATAGTCTAATAGGGTAAACAATGAATAAACAATTGCAGTACAATTAGGATTGTTACGCTTCTTTTAAGGAAAACTCGGACTCTACCTCTAGGGGGCCAACTTCCAAATGAGTATGCAGTAGAGTTTTGTTCAAGAATATTAGTTAGGATTATGTATAGTTGCCTGGTAAAGAAACCTGAAATGCAGTGACTTAAACAGTTAGAGGTTTAGTTTTGTATCCCATGATAAAAATACACACATAAGCATTTTAGGGCTAGCACAGTGGTTTCATAAGTCATTGGATTCCTAAAGTCTTTCTGTTTTTTCTTCCCTGCAAATTTTAGTACATGGTTTCCATTCTCAAGATTGCCTCATGATTTAGAATGGCTGCTGGTGTTCTAGTGATCACAATCCCAATCCCAGAAGGAATAAGAAAGAAGCGGTAGGATGAAGGTTAAAAGAGAACTTCCATCTGAGTCAGGCGTCTTTATAGAGCTAGTCCCACAAATCTACCCAACACATCTCATCGATAACCCTTATATGTAAGGAAGACCAGGGTAATTTTTTTCACCTGAATGCATTGTCACCTCTAACAGTACAAGGACCTATTAAGGAAAAATGGAAGAAAGGATATTGAGTAAGCAACTTACTCAGTAAGCATCTTTCACTTATTAGGTACATGAAACTTAGAGTGAAGTTTGTTACTGAATATACTGAAGTTATTTCAAACTACAGTATAGACCTTTCCTAAAATGGCAGTAACACCTATCCCTAGCTCATTCCAAGAACAATCAGATATTAGTCTCTCGCTCTTTTCTTTTAAATTTATATTTAAGTAACTTTTTAGGTGAACTGAATATACCCTGAGGATATAGCAATTTGTATTATAATTCTAATAAAATAAGAATTGCCTCAAGAAATCACTTACCCTGTTACCTAGTTATTACCAGAAAAGACAAGATAATATAAAATTAAATAAAATCTTATTTTTCCTGCTTTGTTCAAATGGACAGTACTTGAGATCCCAACCCAGTACGTCATTACACAGGGACTACAACAGTTTTTTCATGGCAAAAGCATACAGCTAGCTGATAATCTATACTCTTAAAATTTTTGTGTTCTATGACTTAGAAAGAACTTTGGAGTCTCAACCAATGCTTGTTCAGGCACTTGAGCAAGACTCTTAAGGAAAACTGACTCTTCCTTCAAATGTCCTGTTTGACCCATTTTCAGATTAGGTGAGGTGGGCAGCCTCTGAATGAGGATGCAAGTCAGATTCTCTTTTACTCTAGGATCTTTTTCATTTTGCATCAAAAGCATATGAATATACAATTAGTCAGCTGCAGAGGGGCATTTAAAACTCAACTTTGTACCATTTTTTTCCCTAAGAACTCATAAAATTTGTCTCTGGAAGATACCCCTCAGGCCATGTTTCTGTTTATTCCTCTGGATATGTAAAGCACTAGATTTGAATCAAGTTAAATAGAACATCACAAGAAGCACATTATGCTTCTTTACTTTGCTTGAAGGACAGTATAAGAAATGGTCGTATGAATACCTCTTCATAATCTGAGAAAACCACTGTTTCTTAGGTTGGTCATTATTATACACACATAGAGAATCCTTTCAAATTAAAGGAAAAAAGTTAGTATTTTCTGATGACATGGTAGGTTTTGCTTTACCAGACAAGGAGAAACCTATTAAAAACTTTATAACATTTATTTTTTGCTTTGACTTCAGCAAGTTCATGATTAAGTCAATTATAATAACTCATACAACCCTGGATTTCGGATACATTTATTTCCTGTTCCTTATATTTAAATTTTTTTCTATTTTTTTCTTGGCCTTATTTGTAATTATGTTGTAAAAAGCCCTATCCTTTCTAAAAGTAGTATATAAATAAATAAGTTCAAGCAAATAGAGTACATGAGTTTTTTAAATACAGATTCTCAAGAAATTGGGAAAGCCTCACATGCCAGATAGTGTGAAAAAAATCAGATCAGTAGAATTTGAACATATCTACCTCGTCCTTTTTCTATTTGTGAGCACATGGAACAGAGGTGGTAGTTATGATTCATGTCCCTTTTCCAGCAGAACTGGCATATACTGCCTGGCTGGATCACACCATAAAGAAAAAAGCTGCAGAAATACAGTTGTTGATAACAACAAGGAGCTAGTCCCCACACTTCACCCTGCCAGACATATACCTGAAACTTCTCAGGCCATTTTATCCACTCTTGACTGTTAGATGGGAAATAAGAATTCTGTGGAAACCAAGGCTTATTAAGCAACACTGTATGTTTCCAAGAAAAGGTTAGATAAGGAGCATCTAGAAAGTTATCAAACCTGAGAAACCTTTTCCATGTATGTTAGATAACAGGGCAGCTAATGCTAAATTAGCCTGCTTTATCCAAGAACTAAATACTATGATAAGCTACAGTAATTGAATGTAATATAGTTTTACATAGTGCTAGATAAAATTTGTGAATGATAGATAAGACCATTCATTGTTTAAAATAATTTATGCATCAGTGAGTTACAGGTGTATGTTAAATGGTTCTACTGTTCTCTAAAAGCAGTAAGTGGAAAAGTTGTAGGTATTGCCCTTGTTTTATCTACTGTCCTTCAGGCATGGTTATTTTGATCCTAATCCCTCTTGGATGGTGGTTGGCTCAGCTGGTTGGAGCGTCATCCCATACACCAGAAAGGATGCAGATTCTGCCCTGGCTGGTGTGGCTCAGTGGGTTGAACGTTGTTCCACAAACCAAGGGGTCACTGTTTTGATTCCTAGTCAGGGCACGTGCATGGATTGCAGACGAGTTCCCCAGTTGGGGGCGTGAGAGAGGCTACTGACAGATTGTCTGTCTGTCTGTCTGTCTGTGTCTCTGTCATCTATAAATATATCCTTGGGTGAAGATTAAAAAGAAAAAAGAAAATAAATGAAAAAATAAAACCAGTGCACTAACTAATAAGCTGTAGAGCTCACCATCCTACAGGGTACTTTAAATATAGGATGCCAGTATTTATTGCCCTACCCTACTCATAACTCCTTCCTGTTTTTAAAACTAGATGACTATGGATGTGGAGTGTTAAAATCTGATCTAAAATATAGCTTTAGTTGTAAACAAAATTTAGTAATTTTCATTCCAATATATGTTGGTTTTTTGTTGTTACGGTTTTTTCTTTTGTTTTGCTTTTTTTTCTTTTACTTGAATTTATTGGGGTGACACTGGTTAAAAAAATTCTTCAGGTTTTAGATGCACAATTCTACAACACATCATCTCCACATGGTATTATGTGTGTTCACCACTCCCAGTCAAGTATCTATGTTTTGCATTTCTTAGCCAGAATTTTAAGATTGTCATTTCTGATTCTCTTATTCCAGGGCTTCTCTTAGAAGCTTAGCTTTCTGCTAAAATACCGTACCACAAAACATAATAATATATAGGACCTCTGAGGTTCCCCCTAAAGACTCATGTTGGCATGTTAACATGAATAATTACTGCATGGTACAATTTGATAATTCTGCTTTGAGCTGAAGTACAGTTGTTTGATATTAGTTAAATATTTTATTCTCAAAAGTATTTCCTTTTGCAGATATTTTTTCTGTGTCTTTCTGGAGATGAAAATGCTCATCCTTCTTCGGATTCTTTCTTGTGCTTTACTGGTTCTTATCTTGATACCCTAGTTGTGTAATAATCATTCTCCTTCAGAGCAACTTTTGCAGTCTTTGGGCAGTGAGCATTAAAATTGGAACTATTGATAGATACAGTAAAAGGATACATAGCAATGAATGCCATAAGAGAAAGTAAGCTTTAACTAGAATGTTTAATTATTAATTATCCGTTTGCTAGGTTCTTCCAATATGAGAATAAGAAAGATATGTTGTAGGTATTGTTGTTTCCTACCACGATATGTGTTAAACAACCATATTTAGTAATACATTTTGAAGGTAATGAAATGTTAGACCTTAAATGATAAAACTGTAATTTTGTATGTGCATTCTTTAGAAATATGTAATATAGTTTAGAAACTATAGAACAGTTTAGAAACTTTAAAACAGTTTAGAAACTTTAGAAATATATAATATTGTTAGAAATGAAAGTATCAGCCTGTTGAACTGTTTTATTAATAAGCATAGTGCTATAAAAATCTGTGCTATTAATGATATTTGTGGTCCTACATATGAATCTTTTCTGGCCTAATAACTTAATTTTTTTTATGATTCTTTGGGTTGGCTGGACTCAGCCATTTTATTCATGTAGTGTTGGCTAGGATCACTCATGCACCTGAATCCAGCTAGTAGTTCAGTTGGGTTTGGAACATTCAGGATGGCTGGTGTAGTTAAGGATTATCTTGGCCTTTCTCTTCTGCATGCTATTTGGACTTCATCCTGGTGGCTCAGGGCTCCAAGAGGAAGTTACAAGGCATTTTAAGTGCTAGGCTTATCACTTAAACAGCATCACTTCGTCACATTCTATAAGGCCAGCTCTCAAGGAGAGGAGACATAGGAACTGTCGGAAAAGTGGCGTGCAAGTACAGGAATGGGAAGGAATTATTGTCAGCCATCCTTACAGACAACCTATCATACTTACTATTATATTTTTGTCACACAAAAACATTCAAAAAAATATTTCCATTTATCTCCCCTCTACCCCTTCTACCTCTCCCCACCTCCCTTTCCCTCTGGTGATCACCATATTGTTGTCTGTGTCTGTGGGGTTTTTTTTTTGTTTTGTTTTTCTTAATCCCTTCAGTTTTTTCAAACATTTTTAATTTTTGGTTTTAGGTAGTGATAGCTCTTCGCTGCAAAATCAACAATGGCTATTTAGCTGACTTGTTTAGAACCACTAATTATCAGTAAGCAAGTAAAATGTTTATATTTTTTCTCCCTAGTATTGACTGTGCCGGTATTTTGAAACTCCGCAATTCAGATATAGAACTTCGAAAAGGAGAAACTGATATTGGCAGAAAGAATACTAGAGTACGACTTGTGTTTCGCGTACACATCCCACAGCCCAATGGAAAAGTCCTTTCTCTGCAGACTGCTTCTATACCTGTTGAGTGCTGTAAGTGAGCTTGTGATGATTTAAAATTTCTTTTACAATAGGTCATTTCCTGTTTTGCTTGTAATGTGATGTTTGGATCTAAAGTGTAAACTGAGGCACAATTTGGATAGCTGATGTGATTTTCTTATATGTAAATAAGCTACATGGTTAGGTAGGAGGAGTAATGATCTTGAAGTTAGAAAGTGGTCTCTCCTTTAAAAAAAAAAAAAAAGAATAAAAAAACCAAAAAGAAAGGAAGAAAATGGTCTCTTATTATAATTTGACCGTAGGTAGCTGTGTGACTATAGACAAATTCTCCTGACCACAGTTTTCTTATCCGTAAATGAGGAAGATGGGCTTGATGACACCTGAGGACCAAATCATGAAGTTTAAGATTCTAAGTGTTACTTGGCTGATTTAATAAATTTAAATTAAAATTAAATTTTATTTAATTTTAATTTAAATTTTATTTAATTAAAATTTAATTAAATTTATATAAAATTTAAATAAAATTTTAATAAATAAAAGATTTCACTAAATCTTTATTTCATTAAAATGTCAGCCTTTATGTTGGAAGATGCCTGTCTCTGTGAGCTGACACCTCAGTTAAATAAGGACTCACAGGATTTTGGTTTTTTGGTCAGTTTTTGTTGTTTTTTTTTTTTTTTACTATAAATTTAATTACAACACCAAATTAAGAAAGTAAACTTTACCCCCAATTACAAAGGAAAGAAATTTAAAAAGGTCCTAGAACATGATAATTACTCAATCTCTGGAGAACTGTGAACCTTTGGTAGGGTAGCTGGTAGGACTGATATACTGAGACTGCTGAGGTCTTTCTGGCGTACCCTTAGAAATGTTTTAATGTCATGTCTTAATTTTGTGTAGGAGGAAACTGAGGCACAAGTACCTCAAGTACTCATCTAAGGTTATTTGCTCGTAGGTGACAGAGCTGTGCTTAGAGCATAGGTTTTCTTAGTACTCTTTTGGTTGTATTATACCATTTTATTTCTGTTAACCACATGCATTCTTAATTTGGGATTACACCTACTTAATTTCCTTTTTGTGCCTCCATTTGCTGTTTGCTGAATTGGAGTAATACTTTATCATTTCCCTATTAACTGTGGGAATCACTGAGCAAATCCATGGTAATAGAAATAACTGTAGGAATAATTTTTGTATTAATTTTTTAAAGCATTTATTTATCTTTAGAGAGAGGGGAAGGGAGGGAGAAAAAGAAGGAGAGAAACATCAATGTGTGAGAGACAAATCAGTTGATTGCCTCTCGCATGCCCTCAATGGGGGACCCGACCTGCAATCCAGGCATGTGCCCTGACTAGGAATTGAACTGGCAACCTTTCTGTGCATATGCTGGCACTCAATCCTCTGAGCCACACCAGCCATGGCTGTATTAACTTTTAATAGATAACACAGGTACATGGTACAAAATTCAGAGAGAGTAAAAGTATAGAGTGAAAAGCAAATTTCTAAGTCAACTAGTTTTCCCTTTTAAAAGCAACTATCATTTCCAGTGTTTTTATTATCCTGCCAGAGTATTCTGTGCCCATACAAACACATCATGTATTTAACTAAATAATTTAAATAAAGTTATAGAGTAGTTTGAGTTTTTAAGATGAAGTTCCTTTGAAATGATTTTCTATTTTTTCTTTCAGTTTATTAAATTAATACATGATTTTCTTCTTTTAGTTTATTAAATTAATATGTGATTATTCTGGAGAATATAGAAAATGCAGAATGGTACAAAGAATAGTATTAAATCTTTTGAAATATCGCTTGCCCAGGATAGTCACTATTAACTATTTTTTCTTTTTCTTTTTTTTTGGCCCATCTGTCTATACATATATACAGTATTTTTTAGTTGGGCTTACCTGATACAGTTTTAAAGATTTTATTTATTTTTAGAGAGAGGAGAAGGGAGGGAGAAAGAGAGGGAGAGAAACATGGATGTTAGGAAGAAACATTGATCAGTTGTCTGTGCCATTTGTTGAAAATATTTTCAGTTACTTTGAATGTACCTATTAGGATAGCCAACTTCTACCATACATGTCTAAAATTTGAATTTGTCTGTTCTCTAGGCCAGTCAGTGCTTCTTTCCATGTTCCTTCTCTGTGAGCCATTTGCAACTTAAGTAGGAATATAAGTGTTTTCTGAGATCTAGGTTGGTGCTGGGTACTTCCCAAGTGATAAATCCCAGACCTATCTCTTATGAAAGAACTATTTTAACATTCTCTTTGGATGGGGCAGGTGTCCCAATTCACATAACTTTTGTGGCTTGGTATTCAGTAGTTAGGAAAGAGGAATCATAGTAACCTGGGAGTGTGTGCTTCCTAAAGGCATTCAAGTTTAAATTTCTTTAAAATGTTCTTCTAGCCAAACAAAACACAGCTGACGCTCAAAGCCACCAATTTTCCACACAAAAAGTAGGACTAAAAGCAGACCTGTTTTCCAAATGTGAAGAAGAAAGTGTAATTCACACTTTTTTCTTTTGTTTTGAAGAGAAAAGAAAAGAGCCAGAAATAGGACCTCCAGAAAATATAGCTACTTGGAATCAGTAATATCATAGAAAGGTGGCACCAACATCATTGTTTATAAAGTTAATTTAAGTAATTACAGCATTAAGAAAAACTTGTTCACGTACCCTGGAAATGAAGTGTTAGTGCACTATAGAAACACTTACATGCATTTTTTAAAATTCACTATTGAAGCCCAGGCTGGTGTGGTTCAGTGGATTGAATGCCAAGCCTGTGAACCAAAGGGTCACCGGTTTGATTCTCAGTCAGGGCACATGCCTGGGTTGTGGGCCAAGTCCCCAGTAAGGAGATGTTCTAGAGGCAACCACACATTGGTGTTTCTCTCCCTCTCTTCCTCCCTCCCTTTCCCTCTGTCTATAAATAAATAAATAAAATTAACTGTTGAAACGTGTACTTCATGTATGCTTCAGTTATTTAGAAAATTGTCCAAAATGGAATCTTGATATCTCAGTGATGATCTAGGTGTTTTCTTGATGAAAGGGCTACTTGGTATTTATCCTTTAGAAACTTGTCTTCTTTTAATTGTAGGCATCATAATTACATGTCTTTGGATTTAATTGTCTTTTATCATTATATTAGATTTACTGATTTTAACAGTTGTAGGGAAGAAATGTGTTAAAGACTTAAGCTATGAAGAGAAAAGTTGGATAAAGTGAATGTGTTGACATCTGTAAATTTGTGAGCATTAATTAGTTTTTCTTATTAGTTGGTTTTTTTACAGTTGTCTTAAGAAAATAATTTAGAAATTACATAAAGCTAATGACTCTTATTATCTAAATAATCTAGTTATTTTGGTGTATATTTTACCATTATCTTGAGGTGTAAAAGCCCAGAATTTGCTTCTCTTTATTTTCATTATATAGCCTGAATTTGTCATTTATATATGAAAAATTATAAACTAATATTTTGTTTCTTCTCAACTTTTAAAAATAAAACAGCTCAGCGGTCTGCTCAAGAACTGCCTCATATTGAGAAGTACAGTATCAACAGTTGTTCTGTAAATGGAGGTCATGAAATGATTGTGACTGGATCTAATTTTCTTCCAGAATCGAAAATCATTTTTCTTGAAAAAGGACAAGGTAAATAATAGAAGATTTGAATTGGTTGACCTTGAATTATCATATATTTCACTGATATTAAACACTTTAGTTTTTCTAAAGGTACAGGTATCATTTATGCAGATTGTATTGTAAGTCAAACATTTATTACGTTTTCATAAAAGTGTTAATTTTCATTAAGGATGTTTTACTCTGGCTGGTGTGACTTGGTTGGAGTGTTGTCTGAACACCATAAAGTTCAAGGTTTGATCCCTGGTCGGGGCTCATATGGGAAGCAACCAACTGATACTTCTTTCTCTCTCTCTCCCCGCTCTCTCCCTCTCCCCTCCCCCTTCCTCTCTCTCTCAAATCAATAAACATATCCTAGGGTAAGGAGTTAAAAAAAGAGAGAGATGTCTCAAAAGTAGAAGAATGTCCCAGAAGTTTTACTCCTAGGTATACAAGGTCTGTCCAGAAGGTATCCAGCCATGTAATATGAAAAATAGAGACATTTATTGAAGAAGATACAAGAAACATTGTACATAGGACAGTGATGCCTCAGTCCCCTTCAAAGTAGGCACCCTGGGACCTCACACAGTTCGCCCAGTCGTATTTTCCTGAATCTCATCAACGGTCTGAAATCTCCCTTTCAAGGGTGATTTTAGTTCTTGGAAGACCGTAAGTCACAGGATGTCAAATTTGATCTGTAGGAGGGCTGAGTCACCTGGGTGATTCAGTGTTTTGCCAAAAGACTGCATGAGACGTGATATGTGAGCAGGCATGTTGTTGTGATGAAGCTGCCAATCACTAGTTGCCATAGCTGCAGCTTTGTGAATCATCTGAATAGTTTCTGCAGAGAAATGTTAAAGCTTAACACAAAATTTGATGCAGATTTGTTGCTCCACTCGGTCAGTCATTTTAAATGTGATGGCCACACAGTGCACAAGCTCATTCAACAGCGTCTATCATTTCCAGTGACTAGTACAGTAAAGTCATTGTTCATGCATGCGCGTTCCAGTCCACTCTCCTTGGCTACCAGGTTACATCGATATTACGCAAACTATTCTTGTTATATTAACAATGGCTGGACTTTTTCTGGACACACCTCGTGTATATATATTTGAGAGAATTGAAAACATATGTCACACAGAAACTTGTCCAAATACTTATAGCAGCATTATTTATAAGAGCCAAAAAATGGAAACAACTTAAGTGTTCATCAGCTGATAAATGGGTATAATCATACACTTATGGGATATTATTCAGCCATAAAAAAGAAAAAAGTATTGGTTCATGCTACGACATGGATGAACCTTGACAGCGTTGTGCTAAGTGAAAGAAGCCAGCACAGAATGTCCAGAATCAGCAACTTATAGAGACTGAAAAGTCGATTAGAGGTTTTAAGAGTCTATCAGTGAGGAGTGACTAGTAATGGGCAGGGGGTTTCTGGAATTAAACAGAGTTCTATGTATATAGAAACCTCTGAATTATATACTTAAAAAGAGTGAATTTTGTCCTGGCTGGTGTGGCTCCATGGGAGCATCATTCCATAATTGAAACATCCCTTAACTGGAAGGTTGTGGGTTTGATTCCTGGTTAGGGCACATACCTGGGTTGTGGGTTCAATCCCCATTTTGGCTGCCTACAATCCTGGTCTGAGGGCCTACAGGAAGCAACTGGTCAATACCTTTCTCTCTCTTTCTCTCTCTAAAAACGATGAAAAAATATCCTTAGGTGAGGATTTTTTTAAAATGAATTTTACGCATTTTATATATAATTATATGAATTACATCTTAATTTTTAGAAAAATAGAAGAATCCTATGTCTATCAGGGTATTTTATTTCAGCCTTCTTGAGCATATTTATAACATTTTCTATTATTCCCTTTCTCATATTTTTTAGCATTTAAAAAATGTGAAATGAAAAAACATCCTCATAAGAATAATATAAGAAATAGGACATTTACCTTTGGAGTCATATTGTTGTCCATTCTCTAATGGATTCTTCCCCTGAATCAATTTTTGTTTTTTTTACAGTTTTATTTTATGTATTTTCCCATTTTTGGACTTTATATAGTACTGCATATATTCTTCTGAAAAAATTTTTTTTCCCAGTGGTCAACATTAATGTTTTAATGTAACTGAATTATCTTTCACTGTATATAGGTTTCTCTGTATGAATGTGCCACAATTTGTTATCACTCTCTCACTGGATATTTGGGTTGTGTCTGTTTTTTGGCACTGCCAAACAACAGCTAACAATTCAGTAATGAGCATTTTACTTTCTAGGGGGGAAAAAAGATTTCTATGAAGATTTTATTGTAGGGTGTAACTTTTTTTTTTTAATTCTCGCCTGAGGACACACTGATTGATTTTATAGAGAGGGGAAGGTAGGGAGAGAGAAAGAGAAACATGGATCGGGGAAAGAAACATCAATTGGTTTCCTCTCATGCATCCTGACCAGGGACTGAACCCGCAACCCAGACATGTGCTCTGGTGAGGAATAGAATCTGTGACCTCTTGGTTTACTGGGTGACACTCCAGCCAATTGAGCCACAGTGGCCAGGGCAAGCATTCTACTTCTTGTCACCTGGTGGACTGGGCAAGAATGTTTGTTAATTCAGTAGATATAAAATGGTATCTTGAACTTTGGGTTTAAATTTTCCTGTTAATTATATTGAGGTTATTATGGGCCATTTATTTGTGTAATATCTGTTCATGTCTTTGCCCTTTTTTTTTTTCCTTATTGAGTCAGTTTTTATTATAGAATTCTTTATATACAGGGTGGGAGAAAAAGTAGGTTTGCAGTCGTTCACATGGAAAAGAATACAGTCTTTAATAATACAAGAATAAACTCTTTTGCGTACTCACAACTGTAAACCTACTTTTGCCCCACCCTATATTTCGGATATCAAAGTGAGTTGGGAAAGTACCCCCATCTTTTTCCACTTTCCCAAGTGTTTGTCATGTAGTCTCACCTTCTTTTGAACATGTGGCAGAGCTCACCTCTGAAATCTTCTAGGCCGGGAACTGTTTTTGTGGGGAGCTATTAACTTCTGATAAAATTCTATTCATGGTTATAGGACCATCTAAGTTTATTTCTTCTTGCGTTAATTTTGGTAATTTTTATATTCCAGGTGAATAGGAAAACACCTCCTTCATTTCTCCTTTACTGTCATAATATTACCGCACTCAAACACTTTTGACATCAGATATGTGGGTTTCCCATATATCAAACAATTCTTTAATATCAACTGAGTGTCCTCAGTTCAATTCAGTTCAATTCCGAAACTAACTAGAGTTAGTGTAGATCCCACAGTTTAGGGGCTTAGTCCTATAAGGCTATCCCTACATCAGATGCTAATTGAAAATAGTTGGTCAGCGGTTACCCACAACTTCTGTCAGACTTGCCTACAAACCAGAGGTTCCCATGACCCCTTTCCTGGATTTCATCATTGGTAGAACATGTCACAGAACTCAGGGAAACTTACTTAAGTTTACTAGTTTATTATATGATAAAACATACCATAAAGGATACAGGTGAACATCCAAGTGGAAGAGAAATACATAGAGCAAGGTATGTGGGGACAGGCACGAAGATTCTATACCCTCTATAAGGATACCACTCTTCTAGCACTTACTATGGTCAGCAACCCCATTGTATTGGAATTTTTATGGCAGCTTCATCACATAGGCATGATTGATTATTCCATTTCCAGCCCCTCATTCTTCTCTGGAAAAGGAGGAGTGGGCCTGAAAGTTCCGAGTTTCTAATTATGGCTCTGGTCTTTCTAGTGACCATCCTTTATCCAGGAGCCTGCTAAGAGTCTATTCCCTCCTTTAAACAGAAGACACTCATATTTGATCTAGAAAATTCCAAGGGATTTAGGACTATGTCAGAAATGAAATATTAGAGGAAAAAAAGATGCTCCTTTGCTCTTAATAGGAAATTATCAGGGGGGACTCAAAAAAAGATGGAATTCATTTATAAAAAATTGTGTATTCTTATATGTTTAAACTTCAGTCACCTTCAAAGCACTCTCCATTTGATGCAAAACATCTATGCAAGACATTTTTTTCCACTGCTCAAAAACAGTTTTTGAACTTGTCAATTGTGATGCCTTTCAGTGCTTCCGGTTTTTCTGTTTTGTTTTGTTTCATCTCTTCCACATTTGAAGACTTTTTTCATGGGGGAGGATTACCTTGGGGTGAGCTCAGGTGAATAGGGACAGTGGAACACGGGGATCACGCCATTTTTGGGTCAAAAACTGCTGAACACGCAGCATGGTACGGACAGGTGCACTGGTAAATCACCCATCATGAAATGGGCAAACATGTTGAAAGAGTCTTCAAAAAATTCACTGAAGCCGAATGTAGCCTCTCATAACATTGCCAGCTGGTACAATGACACAGATGGGTTCCTAGAACACTCACCTAGCAGGAGAAGCCTGTACTACAAGGGACCTGCCCTTCAGAAGATAATTTTGGGTTATTTTGGGTGCCCCCTTGTACAAGGGTTTTAAGGCTGTATGCCAGGAACTGGAGGCAGAGACCAATTTATATTTTTTTCTATTATTTCACACCATTATTTTATTTCTTTCATGTAAGTTCATGTAAGTTTTTTTTTTTAATAGTGTCTCTTGTGCACAAGGATAGCTATTACCTGATTTCTGGAGTGGAACATGATAGTCACAGTCTGGAAGGCATTTGATTGAGTCTCCTTATGTCCTCATAGACCAGGTGAAGTCATGCTGGCTGTGGAGATACTGGTGTAGGTTGGTCCCTGCGTGAATGCTCATGACATAAAAAGAATGCTTCAGAACAGCTGTTCATCAGACTGGAGTGAGAATTTTAGTAGTGGGGCTCTCCTAAGATGAACAATTCACTTGGGATGAAGAGACAGAAAATATGCTGGCCAGATCTTCAGATGACACAAATCTGGAAAGCCTAGAAGCCCATTTTAGACCATCAATATCTAAAAAGATCTTGACAAATGAAGTGATCTAAGAAAATGAAGTTTAGTAGGAAGAAATTAATGTAACAAGGGTTGGTGGGGGCAGCTGCCTAAGTGTACAGTGTGGGAGCTTGAGCTTGGAAATAGGTAATGTGGCAGACTGAGGGATACTTGCTGATTACACAGTAAGTATAAGAGTAAACATGGTACAGCTGCCTCAGAAAACTTTTACTAACAGAGACACAGCATCTCTGCATAAAGTTGATAAGAGCTTTAGTTACTGTCTGGTCATTTCTCACCTGGGCTATTCAGTCCTGGGCCTGGTGCATTTGAAGGGAGATGGTCACATTGGAGGAATGTCTAAAGAATAGTGATCAGGAAGGCTAAACTGTTGTATAAGAGATAGATGCGGAATTGGAGGTGCTAGCCAGTGGGAGACGAGACACAGCCAGACATAGCTGCTTTTAAACAGCTATGGCTGGTGCCTGCAAGGAGTAGTACTTTGACCAGTGTTAGATACTGTAAGGAGACAGAGTTAATCTGTCACAAAGAGTTTTCCAGCAGCAGTTATTGTCCAAAGAGGAAATGGGTTACTTGGTAAGAGTAAATTTTCCATTACTTAAGGCATACTAGCAGAAGTTGGCCACCTCTTGGTGGAGATGTTCTCACAGGATTTTCAAATATCACTCAGTAGAATAAACTCAATGAGGCCTGCTAACCCGGCCATCCCAAGATATTTATGGATGTAAGTAAGAACAGATTCTCTTTGCCAGTAAATTTGTGATGCTAAATACATTAGATTTTGTTTATGTGCTTTGTGACTTGAATTCCTTTTAACTGTAAATTGTTTCTTTCACCAGATGGACGACCTCAGTGGGAGGTAGAAGGGAAAATAATCAGGGAAAAATGTCAAGGGGTAAGAAATTTACCTTATTTCTTTAAAAATATTTAAGAAGCTTAATGAGAAAATTAGACAATGCTGCTTGCTATGTAGATGAGTCTTTTATCTATTAATAGGAAAATAAAATATTTTGAAATTTAGATGTGAGATACTTTCTGACATTAAAATGAAAGTTTAGAAAAGATAATTGGTGTCTTTCTTCACCTTTTTTGTGTATAGGAAGGGCAAAATTAGAAATGAAAGATTATTAGAAGTTTCTCAGTAAAGTTATCATAATTTATTTCTCTGAATTCAGTGAAGAAACCAAACAAATTCAGTAAAGACCATATATAGTAGGCAAAAAATAGGAGGATGATAAGCCCTCGCTATTGCCAGCTGCTCAGCATCAAGCCATTCCTGATTCAACACAAACCTGTGGTGCCTTCCTGGTTGGAATAGAGACAGAGTCTTCTCTGGAAGAGAATACCACTTCCCACAGTTCTGTTCAGGCTTTGGAGAAATTATGTTAAGTACTGCATTTGGTTTGTAGCTAAGAGTTTTCACTCTACTTGTGTAAAATTATTTTTATATGGATATAAATTTTGTGTATTGCCAATTTAGAACATTTTGAATAAAAAATTTTAAGAAAACTAAACTATAATTTGGGAAATATGACAGTTGATTAAAAACCAGAATCGACTTCCAGTTAAGATATATAGTAACCTGTAATATTCATTTGAACAAAGTATTTCACTTCACAGTATATAAGACTTTTTGTTTCTGCTACAACAGGAAACCCAATTGAGTGAGTTAAAAGCAATTTTCCTTTTAATGGTTAACTTTAAAGAGCTTATCTCTTTAAAGTATCCGTAGACTGAAGTATCCATAGAATATATCTCCAGATAAATCAGTTGATGCGCATAATGATCTATGATGGAAGGGCCTGGGTATATCTAAGACTCATGCAGTGCTGAGTTGAGCAGGTGCATTTCATTTTTAGTTCTGAATGTAACACAATCTTGCTTTCCATGCTCCTTAGGCTCACATTGTCCTTGAAGTTCCTCCATATCATAACCCAGCAGTTACAGCTGCAGTGCAGGTGCACTTTTATCTTTGCAATGGCAAGAGGAAAAAAAGCCAGTCTCAACGTTTTACTTACACACCAGGTATGAGGAGTTGTGATGGTTTACTACAGACCATTCTTTCATAATGAATAAAAAGTTATTAAGTGAATCCTGTATTAGAATGTTCAAGGTAGGATGGTTTATAATCAGTAAAAATCCCTACATATGTCTAATCTCTAAAGTTTATGTTGACTTTAAATATTAGATGTGATATAGGTTGTTACTTTGTAGTCATTTGTTACAAGGAAATTAGAAATTTGAATATAGATTTGAAGTCTGTTTTTGAGAAGCTACCAAAAATCACCAGTACTGCAGGAAGGGCAGGTGTTTGTGAATATGTGTGAACTCCCCTTGTGCTTTTAGTACTGCAAGAAGTGAGCTTTAAGAAGGGCTAACATGATTAAATTTGTGTTTCAAAAATAATTTTTTTCTACAATATATAAATATATCAAATTAACATGTACATACACCTTAAACTAACACAATGTTGTATGTCATATATACTCAATACATTAAAAAGTTAAAAATATAATTATTTCTCCCATACTACTTCTGTCTCTGTAAGATGTCAGTGATCGGTGTTTTCAAATTACTAACTGTGGAGAGTGAGCTATATATAGGAAAGTCTCAGTGTTGAAAAGGTGATTTGCCCTGGTTGATGTGCCTCAGTAGATTGAGTGCTGGTCTGCGAACCAAAGGGTCACCAGTTCTATTCCCAGCCAGGTCCCCAGTTGGGGGTGTGCCAGAGACAACCAGTCAGTGTTTCTTTCACACACTGATGTTTCTTTCCCTCTTTCTCCCTCCCTCCCCCCTTCTCTGAAAATAAAATCTTTTTTTAAAAAAAGGGTGATTCAAATAGGTATTGTTTTTAATGTTCAAAGGACAGAGCAGTAAAGAAGATAAAAGATTATCAGGCTCCTGAGAAAGTTGGGAGGACATAGAATTTAAAATATAAAAGTTAGTATGAGCCTTAGATGGGAGAAAGAACAGAAAGGAAGATAAAGAAAAAGAACAAGCTGGATGTGCATTAGAAAAGTTTGTAGATACAGTATTGGAGAGTTTAGGGGGTTTCCATATGATAGCATTTTTTTTTTCTGTAAAAAATGATGTGAAGTCTCCTGTTGTGAGTAGAGTGGAGTGTGTTAATATGGCAGTTTGAAGAGTGTGGAGAAGTTTGATACAGTTGTTTTAAAGACAACAACTAATATCATACAGTCCAGGGGTCTTACCAGATGCCATTGACATAGGGAACTGTAATGTGTAACCTGAATAAGAAGGGAGAGGGCTTCTGGGAATGGATAGGGGGAGCAATAGTGTCAGCAGATTAGAGGTTTTGATTACTACCATCATAGTGGTAGTAATTGAACAGTAAACAGGAAAGAGAATGTAATAGTTTCATTATTAGCTCATGAACTGAGAGGACACTATAAAGGCAGTGTCCTAGCGGGCATTTCATGTAAGAATGAAAATCAGTGGGGCCCCAGAGTGCAGAGAGAATATTGGATTGGACTACAGCTGTCATCACTGGCCTTATGGTTAACAGAATACAAATCAAGTGGCATACTAACAGAAGGAAGAATGGACACACACAAAGTTGGAAAAATATTTTAAAACATCCCAATTTTTTCCATGTGAAACTATCATTCTGTCTTTCTAGATCCTTTTGACCCATCTATAGACACAACTCTTTAAAAACAGAAATGGAACAATACCATATATAATAATTTTGTAGCATGAGCATATTTATTTTTTCTCATCAGCAGATAGAATTCTACAGAGTTTTAATAGCTTCTCTGTATTCTAGTGTATGACTTTATGTTAGGGTTATTTTGTGTGTCTTATTAATTTGTATGAGTTCTTTATATTAAAGGTTTTAGTCTTTTATATTTGTGGGAAATAATTCCTATTAAAATTCTACCTAAAAATTTTAGGTAGTCATAAGTTTCTTGTTTTTTATTAATGAATTTTTCAGTATGTTACCTTTTCGGCAACCCCCCTAGCAATAGGGATCTGACCAATATCAGTGAGTGGAGAAATAATCATTAATTGCAAATGTCTGATTCTTTTAAATTTTTTATAATTAGAAATGCTATTTAGCATTATTTGTCCCACAATCAGTTTACTTTATAAAATGAAGATAATTAATAGAGCACAGAGCTCTTTCCTAGTGGTGCTGCATGAACTTCTTCCCAGCCACTGGCTCCAGAACTTTTGATGTAGGAGCCCCACCCTTATCCCAGCATCCCTGAAGTTGTTGAGGAGAATGTATCTCCCTCTGAAGCATAGCAGAAGTTTTTTGCACTGGAGGTATCATCAGAGTTCTGGTTTGGGAATAATGGAGATTATAAGGGCAGTATTAGAGCCAAACTTTTGTATGTAACACAGTATTTTGCCCGTGGGAAAATATATTCTGTGTTGTAAGTAGTTGACTGGACAGACTGACTTTTGGATTGTGGTGGTTTTGATTGAGAGAGAAAAAACTTGCCTTACAATCAGGATATCAGATCTCAGTTCTGCCCCAGACTGTACCCACTGATTAACCTCTCTATAAAATGAGAATGTAAAACCAAAGCAGTGGTTTTCAAATTTCTTAAATTATTTTATTCTTCAAGTAAATTCTTATGCAAAAAACCAATATATTAAAAAAAAAAAAAGACAAAAGCAAGTTAGTTTAGGTGCTCTGTTTACACTGGAAGAGGAAATTCAGAGAGTTCCTACTCTCTGGATTCTAGTCTTCTACATCCACCAGTTAAAGAAGAGCATGAGGCTTCTCATACTTTGGAAATCCCAACACCAGTGAACTTCTTTTTCCTGGATCACTTCATCCATCAACGTGCTAAATTTGAAAAAGTGCATATATAACACAAAAGGTAGAGTTAATGTGTTCTAAAACTCAACTCATTCTAGATATTGTAAGGTCTCTAAAACAGTATTTCCCTCCAAACTAGAATAAGTTATCGTAGATGAGCTTCCTTTTGGTCAGGTTGGAGTCTGAATCCCTTACAGATCAAAGAGGTACTTGGTTTGGCAGTGTGGAAATACACTTGATTTAGCAAAGCAGAATTCTCAGTATAGGTACTAAGATATGGGTCAGTAACATAGAAATAAGGTTTGGATCATGCAAAAAAAAAAATGTTATGCTGTAGTTTTCAATCCCTCTTCTTTTTTTTGATGCATGACAACCAACCATTTATATGACCAAGGGCCCCATCTGCTCAGGGATGAGAGTAGGCTTTCTTTCTATATTCTCCCTCCTTATGTAGAATTGTAATTTTGGGTATAGAATTTACTGTGGCTCTCCTGGGACCACAGTAGGAGTTGAAGTAGAAGAGGGGAAAAAATTCACGGGTCTAAGAAGAAAGTTCTAGTTCTGCCAAAATCAGAAGAAAAATAAGTACGTTAAGACATTAGAACCCTGACCAGGTGGCTCAGTTGGTTAGAACGTCATCCCACTCACCAAGAGTTAGCTGGTTCGATTCCTGGTCAGGGCACATACCTAGGTTGCGGGTTTGATCCCTGGTTGGGGTGCAAATGGGAGGCAACTGATAAATGCTTCTCTCACATCAGTGTTTCTTTCTTACTCTCTCTCCCTCCCCCTTTCTCTCTAAAATTGATAAACATATCCTCAGGTGAGGATTTTAAAAAAAAAAGAGAGAGGCCAGGAGCCAGAAGACACAGTGAACCATACTTGGAACACCTGAACAAGAATCAGAAACTGGTTGGAGGACTGGGTCAGGAATATGAGCATTGTGACAGAAGCAACAAGAAGATTGGGGATATACCTTTTTCTCTGCCCTTGGGGTTGTCAGCTCAGCAGTTGCCAAATTCAGAGGTTTAAGTGGATGAATGATGAGCCCATGCTGTACTTGCTAGGAAGCTAGACTAAAGTATGGAACCTAAATGCACCCCAAACAAGTTCTTTATTGGTTGCCTCTTATACAATAAAAAAAAAGTGATCAGGACAGTCTTAATTCACTTCCTCAGATTAAGGCCACACCTATGTGAAGATGCTTGTATTTGGCAAGGGTTTGGTGAATGGTCAGATGAGATTTTTACCTTACTATGGGTCTCACAGTTATTTTCTTTTGATGTAAAATGAATTACACATTTCGCGGACTCCCAACCACAGTTCAGAAACAGCATAGGTATTCATTGAAAAAAAATCCACGCGTAAGTGGACTTGCACAGTTCAAACCTGTGTTGTCCAAGGATCAAGTGTATTCCTATTATGTTGATAAGTAGTACAAATGTGGAAGGCACAAGGGGATGTGAATTCAGGAAAATTATTTTTAAATGAGTTATAACACTTCAATAGGAAGCTAAAGTAGATAATTTCTAGAAAAGTGGACTCAAGTGCTTGCAAAGAGAAACTATGAAATCAGTTGTCTTGACACACAATAAATTAATTGGTGGTTCTTTTCTGTTTTGATGTACATATTAAACAAAATAAGCAAAATGTATTGATTCCCACTTTGAATAGTCCCTTCATTGGGTAGACTCATCATAAAATATGAATCTGCCCTTTTTTTTTTTTTTAACTTGATAAGGGATAATAGCTGGTATTCATAGCCTCTGTTTTGGTTGATAGAATGATAAAGTGGAAATCTTCATTGATACTACAGTATACTGCAATGCCTAAAAGCATGGCCTTTGTTGTTTTTTTTTAACTTGACTACTTTGGAGCAAGAACCACTCCCTGTTGTCTTACACTTGTTGACTTCACATATTTTATATTATCTGCCTTCTCTAAAGGCATTTGAGGGTTTGTTTGTTTTTGCACTCTCTCTCCATTGTTTCAGGTAGTCTGTGACTTGGATTTGTGCTATAGTTGTGTAGCCTAGAATGAAGGCCTTTCATAATTTTTTTTGTATTATGTAATGGCATTTGCTTTAATCTTTTTTTTTTTCCAGTTTTGATGAAGCAAGAACACAGAGAGGAAATTGACTTGGCTTCAGTTCCATCATTGCCTGTGCCTCATCCTACCCAGATCCAGAGGCCTTCCTCAGATACAGGACACATATGTGACAGTGTACTGTCAGCACAGAGAAGCTTGGTTTGTCCCATCCAGCAAACATATGCATCCATGGTAACCTCATCTCATCTGTCACAGCTGCAGTGTAGGGATGAGAGTTCTGGTAAAGAACAGCATATGATACCTTCTTCAGTCTTGCACCAGCCTTTTCAAGTCACACCAACACCTCCTGTAGGATCTTCCTATGAGCCTATGCAAACTAATGTGTACAATGGACCAACTTGTCTTCCTATTAATGCTGCCTCTAGTCAAGAATTTGTTCCAGTTTTGTTTCAGCAAGATGAAGCTCTTCCTAGTTTAATAAATCTTGGCTGCCAACCACCATCATCCATACCTTTTCATTCTTCAAATTCAGCCTCTACAGGACATATCTTAACCCATATACCTCATTCTGTGCATACCCTGCCTCATCTGCAGTCAGTGGAATACCATTGCTCAAACACAGGACAAAGATCTCTCTCTTCTCCAGTGGCTGACCAGGTCACAGGTCAGCCTTCCCCTCAGTTACAATCCATTACATTTGGTTCTTCACAATTAGGGTCTGCTACAGCAGTTTCCCCAGCAGCTTCTCATCCCCTGGCCAGTTCACCGCTTTCTGGACCTCCATCTCCTCAGCTACAGCCTATGCCTTACCAATCTCCTAGCTCAGGAACCGCCTCATCACCAACTCTAGCCACCAGAATGCACTCTGGACAGCATTCAACTCAAGCACAAAGTACAGGTCAGGGAGGTCTTTCTGCACCTTCATCCTTACTGTGTCACAATTTGTGTGATCCAGCTTCATTTTCATCTGACAAAGCAACTGTGAACATTAAACCTGAACCTGAAGAGCAGGAACCTAACTTTTCAACAATTGGTCTACAGGACATCACTTTAGATGATGGTAAGTTCATCTTTAGGTTCTTGAAGCATTGAAATCCAGGAACTTCCTTCTCTAAGAGCCCTGAGAAAGCTACCATAGATTGCCTATTGGTGTATGGTTGGGCTTTTTAGTAAGTTGTTGCTAGAGATATGTTGATACATTATTTTGAGAATAGACATGAAAATCTATGCTGTAGACTTTTTTTTTTTTTACCACTGATACCTGTTGCAAAGTGTGAGAACTTGAGTGATAATCTACTGCCCATTTTTGATGGAACTGAAGACGTGATTTGCTGGGCATCTTTTCTTCCAGAACATACAGTAAGGTCACAGTGTCCAGAGAGTGTTAATTTAGTGAACATTGCAGAATGCTATCCATATGCAGGGCAGAGTTAGATGCTGGGAATACTAGGACTGTATCAAGATAGAATTCCTGTCCTTGAGGAGACTCAGTACAAGTAAAGAACCTGCTCCTTTGTGGCACTTCTAGCTTGCTGAGTCAGATAGTGGAGATTGTACAAGATTGGACTGGTTTGTTGCTGCTGGTACAGCTGTTGGCACCAAAGTATAAAGCTCTTTATATAAATACAGCAAGTTGTTACATAGACCTCTGTTGGTTTGTTTGTTTTTTTTTTTTAATAAAATCAATAGGTTGGGGGACAAACTCTGGAATATTAGTTATTTCAACAATTGAAAATTCCCCCAAATAGAATTTTCAGGTAGTAATTTTAGGGCTTATTCTTGGTTTATTCATCATTTATATCGTAGTAAAATTTTTTCTAAATAGGAATTCAGTAATGAAAGCTACCTATAAGTATTACCTGATAGGAAAATTCTAAAGATTCTGATATGTGGATGCAGAGTTTTCTCTCGTTTTCTGTTAATCTGTAGAAAAGTAATTTTAGCTCAGTCATCTCTTTGACACATCTAGAAAGGCTGAGTTTACTACTTAGTTGCAGAACATATTAAATCTCAAATTCCAAGTGTATGGGGAAAGGAAGGTAAATAAAATATGTCACTGCCCCCTCCCAGGTCTTTATCATCAGATCAGTACAGGACTACCAATACAGTGGGTCTGAGTCACTTATCACCAAAATATAAGGGAAGCACTTTAGGACATCAGAGAAAAGTGACAGATTCCATAAGGGTTCAGCAAGTTTTCCTTGAGATGACTTTTAATCTTGGAGGATCAGTTTATATTTTCAGTAAATGAGAATCAGAGAGCAAATAACGTTTCTGGGAAAGCTTGATTGTCTATGGCTAGATGGCAAAAAGCATAGTAAAGGATGGCTTTTAAAGCCATAAGGGGATGATATGTTAGGTCAATTGTGTGTAAAAGAAGGTATTTGTATAAACCGAGGCAACACCTACAATTTATATAAGATTTTCCTACTCCTTATGTAATGTAATCTTTACTGATCCTTTATTTCTGAGATAGTGACTTTTTAAAAAAAATTTTAAATTTATTAATTTGAGATGGGGGAGGGAAGAAAAAGAGAAACAATGATTTGTCGTTCCACTTATTGATGGGTTCATTGGTTGCTTCTTGTATGTGCCCTGACTGGGGATTGAACCTGCAACCTTCAGACAACGCTCTAACTGACTGATCTACCTGGCCAGGGCAGATAATGACTTTTAAAGAGTTGGACTTTTTGAAGGTCACACAACTGGTATCTAGAGCTGAGATTGGAATTAGAGCTCTTCAGTCTAGTTTTTTTCTTGGAGCACTAGAGCTGCCTCCCAGCAGCAGCATGCGTGGTGGTTAGAACTCTCTGCTAAAGGGGATCCCTCAAGCTTTTTTTAATTCCTAGAAATTAGTGGAACATTCTCTGTGAATGTGTGTGTAGAATTTCACTGCTTGAACACATGTTCACAACTGCATCTGGTCTGTCACACTGATATTGGTAGTAATTGAGGGCTCTGGTATTGTGTTCTCTTTATGCACAGCTGGCCAAAGTGTTAATGCTTCCTTAATGATTAACACCAGGTAGAGAAGAGGCTACTACTTTAATGCAAAACAGATTTTAAATAAATAAAGGCTTTTCCAAATATACACAGGCTTTTAAAATGTTACCTATGTGTTCCTTTGGCAGTTTTAGACTAACTAGTCATAGTGCTTTTAAGGTTTATATTTAGAATTTTAATCCCTGAAACAAAAGGTGAGACCTTGAATGATAACCTACCACCCATTTGTGATGAAACAGAAGTCATGAGATATATTGAGCACGTTTCAAAGGTATTCTAGCTCATTTTCTTTCCAAATGAAGGCTTTTTTTTCTAAAAAGAGACCAAAGTTGAAACCTGCTTTTTCTAATTTATCACAGATTGAATGATTTTGGAGAGGTGGGGGCAGGGGCAGCAAGTTGAAACTTCTACAGAGGTTTTGCGAAAGTTTTATTTCACCTTTTGAATATGTGAATATGTGTTGCAGAAACAGTCTGGAAAGAAGAGGTCTCTGAGAGCAAGTATAAAAGTGATTTCATTTTTGCTCCATTCATTGTCTAGGACACATGATCAAGAAAAGTTCCCAGATTGTAGCCCACAGAAAACAAGGATTGGCTATTGAATTCCCTCATTGCTACCTATCAGGAGACTTGATAGAAGTTCAGTAGTGCTAGTGGTCATTAAAGAAGGGGGGAAAAACTAAAATGTACTCCAGAGCACCTCAGATTATTGGATGTATAATTTTTACAAGTTGCATTTTTGATGCCAAACTTGAACTCTCAGATGAATTTTTAATATTTGTCAACTGACTCATTGGTTGTGTTTTTTGGATTTGCCTTTGAAGGTAAAATTCTAGATGCTGAGAAAATCCTATAGTTATGCAAAGTTTTAATGTAAATTCATTTAAAAAACCAACATATCTCATAGGTCTTGAACTCCATACTATTTAAATGTCTCCTTTCTGGCTAGCTTTAAAAGTAAACCATTAAGCATGCCAAAAAGGATTAGAAGCACTGTTGACATAAGAAATGTCCAAACCTGTAGAGTTTTTTTATGAGTTTATTGGAGCCAGACTGACAACATAGGCCAAGAAGCAAGATCTCAAATGGCCTCAAGAATAACAGTTTTGCAGCTTCTTTTATGCATTTGAAATTAAGGAGAGAAGTTCATGGAAGATTGGAGAAAGCAAGGCAAAGATTGGAATACAGGAGAGTTTACAAAATTACATGCTCTCTTGGGGGTTATCCCCTTTCAGGGATATGACTGCTGATATTTCAAAGGTGTGTTTCCCTACATGTACAAGAATGATGAACAGGGCTGGCTTAAAACCTTGCACTAAAGGAGTTACAGGCCCGGGGTATGATTACCCACCATGACCTGCCCAGTTAGGAATTTATGATCAGATCAGCCTGTGAAGTCAGTTTCCATAGAATTCTCTTTTCATTTTGTCCATAACTCTTAAAGCTAGCCTGAGCTCAAGTTTTATTTTGAACTTTTCTATATTGTGTTAAGTATTAAGTACAAAGTAGTATCTACGCTACAAGAGGACACAAATAATTTTTTACAAATTTGTGCTATCCTATTTTAATATATTTATCATCTAATCCTTATAACTTCTTTTAATCCTGTTACTATTTTATGTTGTTTAACCCCCCTTTTTTTAAAATCAGGTTAAAGATTAAAACACAGATAAAATATCCTTTTTATTTTTGAAGTTTTTAAGTAAGAAAGAGTTTGTCAGGAATCATTCAAGTATTACCTGGCTGTTAGTTTTAGAAATGTGAACATTACCATCTTAATTTTTTATTGTAAATTCAATGAGATTTAACAGAGAAGCTACTAGTGCACCTCAGCCCAGAAATTCAAGACTTAAGTAGAGTTGGAAATACCCTAATAACAGTTCACTCATTTTATAAAGATTTTGAGTTTTATAGAACCTAATTATGCATTCAGGGTAACACACTGAGTTAATAGCAGAGTAAAGACTAGTTCTCAAGGCTCCTAATTCCTAATTGAGTACCCTAGGAGTCTTTCCAGTATCTGCAGTCATGTTTCTCATCAACCTACACGTTGAGACTGCAAGTAGAGCAAGTAGAATAGGTGAAAGAAGTGGCATTTTGTCCATAGAACCTTGGTTTGTGAGAGGAGTCAGGGCAATCTTAAGTTTATTAGAGTCTCAGTATAAATGAAATTTTAAAGTTCTCCTTTCTCCTATGTCACATCGAAGTTCATACTCGGGAGTCCCTAGTGATACTATATTCCTGTGTGTCTCTTCCTCGCCAGCTTCTTTGGAACATGTAGAGCCTTTTGAGTTCCAGCTGCCTTTGTTTTATGTGGACTCTGATGCCTCTGGATTCCTGTAGAACAAATCTAATCCTCCTCCTGTAATAGCCTTTCACATGTGTGAAATCTTGATCTCTTTCCCAGTCTTAAAAACACTCTAGCAACTGCACCCTTCCTTTACCCTCACCAACATGGTAGTTCCCCTCTGCTTGAACACCAGTGTTTTGTTTTAGTTCCTTTTCATAGTGCAGTATTGGAAGGGAATACACTCTTGCCAGCCCAGAGAGGATTGGGACTGTCGTCTTCATTGTGCAGAAGGTTTTCTTAGCTTGTGCAAGGGATTTTCTTAGCTCCATCTTGCTGTAGATTTCGTGAGTCATAAGTGTGACTAAATCACATGCCCCTGCTCCCTCCCAGCCCCCGTTTACTGCCTTGGCTTTTTGATATGTTGCTTTTGGAACCCAAAATTAAACATTACAACTATCCTTGTTCAGTTTCATTGAGGTGATTTTGGCCCCTCCTAATCAACCTTCCAAGCTCAGAAGAGTCCCAGAAGCATTTCCATGTTCCAGAGTAGTTTGGCTTCCTCCTCAGGAGGATTCCTTGGAGTAACAACAACAGCAAAATACTAACCCTTACCAACCCATGTTCTCTTTCAAGCAGTCCCCTTGTAAGCCTGTAATGTCTACTTTTTCCTACCATTGAGGGCATTGTTTAAAACAATTTTGCTATTTTCTTTGCTAGCTAGATGTAGTATTGGCCTTGCTTGAAGTGTGTTCTACATCTATAAAATTA